TTTCTTCCTCCAATTTTAAAACCATGATCATCTTCTCCCAATCCAGCTTCCCTTAATATATATGGGAGAGTATACACCCTTGTCTCACTCCTTTGTCAACCTGGAGCCCGTCTGTTTCACCATGTTCTGTTTATGCTGTAGTTTCCTGACCTTTATATAAGTTTCTCATAAGGACAAAGTTCTGGGATTCCCATTTTTCTGAGCACTTTCCACAGCTTGATGTGATCAACACAATCAAAGGCCTTTCTATGTGACTTTTTTATCTTCTGCAGCTTTCTCAATTATCCAGCGTAGATCAGCAATAATGTCTCTGGTTCTCTATCAAAGAGGTTCATACTTTAAAGCAATTTCTGATGTTCTCCTTGAAAATAGTGGGTATATGTTCAAGATCATATGGAAACTGATTGGCTTTCTTCTTCTTTAACTTAACTTGGAATTTGCACATAAGCAATTCATGATCTGTTCCACATTTGGCATCTGGCCATGTCTTTAATGCTATAATTGAGCATTTCCACCTCCTTTTAATAATAATATAGTCCAAGTTTCTATATATTCCATCTAGTGAATCCAAGCATCATTTTGGTTGTTCAAAGACAGTGTTTGCTATCACTAGAGTGGCAGAAATTGACACGTCGGTCTCCTGCTTCCTTTCGATTTCCTAAGCCATACAATCTGACTACTAATGTTTCCAACTCTGGCATTCCAATCTCTAATCACAAGCAGCACATCTTGTCATTTGTCAATTTCAAATTGAATCAGATCATAAAACTTATCAACCTCCTCTTCTTCTGCATCAGTGGTTGGAGCATAAACTTGAATGATTGTCATATTAAAGGATTGTTTATGAAGTATAATTGATATTATTCACTGATTGCACTGTAGCCAAATACTGTTCTTGCTATACCTTTCCTAACTATAAAAGCAACTCTGTTCCTTCTTTGTTTTTCATGTCCTGAATAATAACAGTGTGATCTTCTGACTGAAAATGTCCAATCCCAGTTCATCTAAATTTGCTGATGCCTAAGATGCCAATTTATAGTTGTTTCATTTAATCTTTCACTGTGTTGAGCTTTCCCATGTTCATGCTTCTTATGTTCCATGTTCCTACTATAATCTGTCTTTGTCTATATGGCAACATGAGCAACTAGATATCCCAAAGTCTTTAATCTAGCCATATCATAAACACCATTAGTACTCTGAAAGATCCTCAGCACTTCCTCAATAGCATGTTGAGTGCCATCCAACCTGAAGGGAACATCATCCGGGACTATATCTTCAATCATTTTATAATTTCTATCCATGTGGTTTTCTTGGTAAAAATACAGGAGTGATTTACTATTGCCTTCTCCTGTGCAGTATGAATTGATGCCTTCACAATTATCACTAAATTGATCATCTGCCTCCAACATCTTTCTATATCACTGATACCTAATATAGGTGCCTGCTCATTTTAGAAGGGCAACTGAGATGACCTTCATGCCTTGGGTGATTCTACTGGAAATATATACTCAGCATACATTCCTGATTTCTTTACTCATAAATACTTTTGTTCATGTTGTGAAATTAGCTTTATTGAGCAAAATATGCATGTAGAGGGAAATAAAAATAACAAAACAACTCACAGAAGGATTTTTGGAAACTGCAGACTTAGTATCCATCCATCCATCCATCCATCCATCCATCCATCCATCCATCCATCATTTATATTTATAAGGCTGCCTAGTTTATTTTTTCAAAAAAGAAAAAAGAAAAATTTATCAAGAAATTACATTTTGACAGAAAGCCTACATACCTATCTAGCTGTATTCAATATATATAAAAAATGAAAGACCATGCAATATGGCAGAATGGGATTTTGGGAACAAGGAACAGGAACTCTAAGTAACAAAAATCTCCGGGAATAGCACTCTAATTAATTTGAGGCAAGTAGCTCATGTTAAACAGGAAATATAAAGGAGTCAAAAAGAGAATCTATACTAATCTGTACATCTATTGTCCTTAGAGACCAGTGGTTGAGAAGGTGCAATGAGACAATGCATAGAGAAGCAGATCTTCCAATATGATGCCAACTTACCTTTAAGCCTGCCACAAGGCATATGCACATTTATTATTCATAATTGCATCTTACTCTTTCTCTTAAATAATTCAAGATGTCATTATTCAGTGATACCATAAAAACAGCTTTAGCTCTGTTAGTCTATATTAGACTAATATAATTGATTGCTCTATTGTAGGACATGTGTAGCTAAGTGGAGGTTTTAGTTTCTGCCTTATATCAACCTATTTGTCTATATTAATTTCTTTGAAATTCAGTCATATAATCCTTAGTATTCCATAGTCTTTAGTGATTTCTAATTACAGCTAAACTTTACATCTCAAACTGGGTATTGTGTTAAATCAAATGTGTACACTTTTGAATAGACTATCTGGTGACTCTTTTATATTCTACATTAAGCATCCCTAGAAACTATGTCAAGATACAGACATATTGCAGAAAGTTAAAGAAATAATATTTTAAATTATTTCAGATTCAACTCTGTTTCAAAAATGCATCAATCAATCCTTCCTAAATATCTGGGTGGAATATGGTTCCTGGACATCATGTCTGTCATTATTATACTAAATACATCTTTATATAGTACACTTAATATGCTTATTTAACTTTTGCTTTATGTTTTAACTCTCAATCTATTGGATGAAAATAGGCTAACCATATTAATATATGTCCTGATCCCAGATGGAGTTTATTTAAATTTCAGATTGAAAGCTTGCTAAGAACAGATAAGATTGATTGCCCTTTCCATCTAACCATAATTGTATTTCAGGTGAACATAAATTTATTTTAAAGGACACCTCTAAGTAACAGAGTGCATCATGCATAATTCATCAATCACAGCTGCCTGTTACATGATTTACTTAAACACATTTCAATAGAATAGAGTTGCATTGTTTTTCTGCTTTGGTTTGTTTGCTTTTAAATTGTTTTAGAAACATTAATTTATTTGGAATTATTGCTGAACTGTTTATATTGACAAAGACAAAAATAAATTATTCTCCATTTACAATTTCTTACTTTTCATCAGATGTGCCAGCTATGCTGGGTTTTTTCCCTCAAAAATGAGTTTTCAAACATAATTAAGACAAATGAATCATGCTAATTAGAAGTATAAATAAAGCACTACGTACTGGTGTATCTATGTTATGACACTTTCTAAATTGTGGGTTCGGTATTGTTTTTTTGGGAGGTTAGTTTTTTTGTAATAGTGTTGAATTTTGGAAAATAAAAATCCAAATTCAACGTCTGCTCCCACAATTCTTTTAAAACGTTGTTGTTGTTATTTTGCTTTTATAATTAATTTACAAAAATACAACAAGACCTCAGGTTTACCATTCTGACTTTGGTTTTTTAGAAAACCCTGAAGTCTACCAACTGGAATGCCTTGCATGGCCCAATAGGAATTACATCAGGTTACATTAGTTTTAAAACCTGCTATTAGTTATTCAGTTGTAATTAAAATCCTTGCTGACCTACAGGATGTAGGAATGTACAATATATTCTTATTTATTTTTGCCATGTTATGCAATAGTTCTATCAGAAAATTCTGCACCTTGTTTTATAATACTTACCAATTTTTCTCAAAAAAAAAATAAATGAGGTATTATCTTAACATTTTACTTTCCCTATCATCAACATATAAATTAGGGAGGTCCATTTTCCTAAGAGGATGATGCCTGCACCACTTTCACAGAAGTATTCTGTGAAAAGCCACATGTCCTTCTGCTAATGATGTTGGAGAAAATCTAGGTATAATTGGACATGTTGGGACAAAACTCTTAGGATCCTTAAACCTGATATATTCACAGAATAGGAAAGACTGAATTATATCAAACCCAAGACATATAATTAATTTTCTCACACTGAAGGCAATATAATAACAATAAATCCAAAATGGGATAGAAATAACAACATCCCCTACTCCACTCACATCAAAGCTTTCCTGGCCACAGAGAACTGGGATGACGTTGTTTGTGGTAACTGCTCCAGCAGAAAATCAAAATACATAAAAATATTCACTTACTGGATAAGCAGGTAGCATTGCCAAATTTGAGTAATTCTTGCATTTCTGTTAAGAATATACCAATATGTACCTTGCTTACTTACAGGTACCAATCTTAAATATATGTAACAAAAACGTAAAAGAATCCATTACTATGTAAGCTGAAACAAAATTTTAATTACCTGCATACCACCTATTGCTTCTCACCACATCATCTCCATTAATATATAGGTATATACAACACCTTACCTCCCTACATTATTTATCTTTTTTATTTTATTTTCCAATCAATAATGAGCCACTGTATTGCCATTTTAAAACAATTTTCTTAAAATTAATTGTTACAGAAACACAGAATATTTTAAAGGGCAGAAGATTCCATACACCCTCTCTAATGTCTTTTTATATTTCTTCTGTTTTGTGTTTATGTTCTTTCTTCCTACTCTTGATCATTTTGACTTGTACCATATAATTTCAATAATAATTTCTTTTAATTGTTAACAATTTTTGGAATCTGTCCGATTATGTTTAAAACCATACAGTTATCTTCGCTTAATAATTTTATATGAGTATACTACTATTAATAGGGAATTCTGTATTTTTATACATGTTCTTTGTTAAGACAGAAATGTTACTGAATAAATCCTTTATGTTTCTCCATCCCCTTCTACTGACATACTGTAAAAGTGCTCATGCAAATTAAATTTTGATGCCACAACAGATACTTAAAAGATGGGAAAAAAACATATCCATTTGACACTAGGAAAATTACACATAAACCTTCATTTTCTACAACGATACAATATTTATGTTAACATAACCTTGTTTTTTCTCCCTGTTAATTGAGTCTTTAAAATTAGAAGAAACATATACAATAAAAATACACTGGCATAAATGCAAACATAAGCAAATAAGGAATGAAAAAAAAAAGTTTCTACATACTTGTAGGCCCATCTGAAACACTGAGTGACCCATAAAATTAGCCAGCATTCGAATTAAGGCTGCACCCTGCAAACACAATTCACAGGAAAAAAAAAAAAAGTTGGATTGTTTTCCAAGCAGTTTCATGGTAATATTACATGAAATCTACATTTATTCCAATATTTATTTTAGAATAATTACAGGCTTATTACTAATTACATTTAGGATTACCCCCCCCCCAAATATTTGCCTTAAACATTTCAGAAGCTATATGCCTCACTATAAGCTTTATGGGGACAAAACAGAAATAAAAATGAAGAAATAAAAATACAGAAATGAGGTAATTTCAAATAGAGTAACTAAGCCTATACCTTACTGATACAAGCAGAACAAGATGAAACAGTATGTTATAAAAGCACAATATTTCCCTTGCCAGGCCACTGATTGTTCACAAGCACATATTTGAATGAAAGAAGTATAAAGCATTGAGATGTAATACATAAGACAGGCAACAAGTTCTACCAGAGTAATCAGTACAAATGAAATACGGCTGACCAGCATTCCAGTTACAAAAGACCGTAAGCCCAGGTTTCCTTTATGGTTTATGGTTAAGTACTCAAAGATTTGACTTACAGATATATGTTTGGACACATGCACAAAACATATGTCCATTTTAGTGCAGCCTCAAGATTGCCACTGATTCCATTTTTAACTGCACGCACACACACATGTGCGTGCACGCACAGAGCTTAATTGGGGTTATGGTTTAAGATATGGGTGAGTAACTTTTTGCTCTGGGTAGAATGATGTTTCAAAATGGGTGAAGCAATTTCATGTAAGGTCAGTGTCAACTCATTTTCTCTGGATTTTAAGATAGATTCTTTTAAAAAGCATGCTAAGTCTATTTTAGGGTTATACTACAGTTTTCATGTTTTTTGCACTATGAAGTTTTACCATATTGATACAGAATCACAGTTTGGCATTTACTTTCCATACTTTAGTATATACCTATAAATGTAGGTATACATCCAAGCCTGCAATTCTGAGATCAGCATTTGAACGGGGATATAGTTGCAGTTTTATTCAAACTTCAGAATTTTTCAGTGCAATTTATAATAGGCATAGGTAATCAGATATAATCAAAATGTTTTCGATTATTGTGCCCATATTACAGAACTATTCTAGAGGACATTTTGATAGCCTCCATGCTGTCATTTTAAATGGCATGCTTATACATCTGCATATTTCTAGGATCCCAATTGTTCTCGGATGACCAAGCTATACCTTAAGACTAACTTTTTAAAATGAATTTTTAAAAATGACAGATAATGGAGAAAAGGATTTATGGGCCTTTCCAGTGATGATGATGCCACATACAGGAAGTCTGTGACTTATGACCATTCACTTAGCAACCGTTCAAAGTTATGCGCTGAAAAAAGCGACTTACGACCGATCCTCGCACTTACTACCGTCTCAGCGTCCCCGTGATCACGTAATCAAAATTCGGGTGCTTGACAACCAGCATGTATTTACAATGGTTGCAGGGTCCCTGGGTCACGTGGTAACCATTTGCGACCTTCCCAGTCAGCTTCTGACAAGCAAAATCAATGGGGAGCGCGTGATTCATTTAACAACTGCAGTGATTTGCTTAATGACCACGACAAAAAAAGTAATAAAATCAGGTGTGGTCACATGTTGCTTTGCTTAACAACCAGACTACCTAACAATGAATTTTCTGGTCCCTATTGTGGTCATAAGTCAAGGACCGCTTGTAGAAGATTCCAAGTTAGAATATAAGAGAACCAAATAGTAAAGAATATGAATTAATGAATGAAATGAATGCGTGTCTGTAAAAATATAAGAAAGGGGAAGGATATATTAGGTCTGAATGAAGCTGGTCTAAACTTGTGGAGTAATGTTGATAAAGAGATGCAGAGAATTGAAGGTTTAGATTTAATTATGAATTAAAGGGCTAAAATATGTATCAAAAAGTATAAATTGGTGTCACCTAAGTTGTTATGAGTGCATTTGAAAGTAGGAATCCATAGGTGGTGATAGTTTTATATGCACTCCAATGAATGATGATAATAGAAGAACCAGAGGTGAATTTAGGGTGGGAACAAGACAAGATTGTATAGAAAATGTCATTGGCTCATTTGGAGACTCCAAAATGAATAATAATGATTGATGAGTATGTGCTCAGAAAAGGGTCTATTTGTTAAGCATAGGTCTATCCATAGGTACACATACCAAGGTAGTGAATACAAATATACATACAAATATATATTCAGTATATGCATGTGTATATGTATATGCATGAATATATGTGTGTGTATATATTGTACATACATATACATATTTGCACGCACGCACACAAACTCAATTTACTTGAATGTTTATGTAAAAATATTGAAAGAATTAGGGAAGGTACAAGGGTGATAGGAGATTCTGAATGTGTAACAGCCAGTTTTTGGTAGTGCCAAGAGAACCTTGGAAAAAAATTGACATAAAGATCTGGTTCTGCCAATTAGCATGGGGATCCAATGGGGGTTCGCAGCACTGGGGGTGGTTGGTGGCTTGAGGATGCTCTCTCCATTTTTTAACTTTGTATATTTTTGTAAAGATTTTTATAGGTTTGTTTCACTTGTAAGCTGCCTAGAGTCACTTATACAGTGAGATGGACAGCATATAAATTTAATCAATAAATAGATAAATAAGCGAGTGAAAGAAAGGAAAAAAAGTGAGTCCAATATGAAAAAGTATTAGAAAATAGATTAATCTCTAATAGAATTAAGAAAAAAAGTGGAAGTAAGGAATGAAGATGTGGAAGCTGTTTGGAACTCAGTGAAAAGCATTATGTTAGTGAGTGTCATAGAATTGTGTAAAATAATGTTATACTAATAGGAAATAGAAAAGGGATGTTTTTGATGAAGTGAAAGAAGATGTGGAAGAGAAAAAAAATGTTCCCCCTAAAATGCAGACAAATTTATTGCATAACATGTACATAAGAAAAAGTTTGGGAGTGCCAGGAAAGTGCCACAATTCTAACTGAAAGGATACAGGAGGTGATAATAACCAAAATCTGGGAAATGCAGTGTGGTATTATGCTGGGGAGGAAATACGCAGGCCTTTTTTTTGTTCTTCAGCTGGTCTCGGACAAATGTATCTATGTGAGAAAGTTTATTGCATGCTTGTTGATTTAAAGAAAGCATATGATAAAGTGAATAGGCTTAAATTATGGAGTGTTTTGCATAAATATGGAGCTGACGGTTGGTTCCTGAATGATAAAGCATGTGTGAGAATAAAGGGAATGGCTAGGAAATGGTTCAACACTGAGCAGTGTGTAAAATAATGTCCTCTTGGTTGTCTAATTAATGTATGGATAAATGTGCAAGGAATGTTTTTGGTGATGTTAGAGGTGTTTCAGTTGGGGCCATAAATGTAGGTTTACTTTACTAAGCAGAAGCTATGTTCCTGGGTCAGAACCAGAAAGATTTGCAATGAATGATAGAGTACAATGTTAGATTGTAATGATAAAATGAGAAATATAAAAAAAGGAAAATTAACGTATCAAAGACCAAGATGCTTGTGTTTGACAGAGAAAATTGGAATGAACTATGGGAATGAAAGTAGTATATTATGATAGTTTGGTCAAATGAATGAGGATCAAACTGCAAAAGAAATATATGAAATAATAATGAATGGGCTGAGAAGAAAGGAAAGAAAAGCAAATTGTGGTTGGAAAGAACTGATGAGATCTTCAAAAAAAGAGGTGAAAGGTTTAAAGAACAAAAGGTGGTATGAAGTAGTATACGGACATAGTAGAAACAAGCACAATTTGCAAAAATAGAAAGATATTGAGAGAGACAGTGAAATACGTTGCAGTAACACATTTTCATCTATGTTTCCTTTTATTTATTTATTTTTCGTATCTTTAATTTCTTTATCTTATTATTTCCTACTCCTTTTCTGCAGTCTGCAGTACAATGGTTTACTCCCAAGGGGAATAGCATAATGAATGCATTATATATCAAACATATGTCGAAATTCTGAATATTTTTTCCATTTCAAACCTACTAAGGTTATCAACTTAACGTTTACAGCAGAATCCTATCTATTTTATTACATTAAAATAATATCTGTCTTATTTCATGTCATAAACCATCCCCCAAGTCCTGTAGATGGGTTGGGTTTTAAATTACAAATATTCTCTGCTATAAAGTTTGGTGAAACTACAATAGACACTAAGGCTACCATTCTATGGATTAGCAATGCCTGGAGCTGCTGGATGTGTGTAGTTGTTTCTTTCCCCAGCCACAAAATTCCCTTCTAGTTTATATTTTCCAACCAAGAGAGTTTACTTAGGCCAAAGCAATATGTGACTATTCTTTCATTTTTGCTCAAATGGTGTAAGAAAACTGATAACAATTTAAATTCTGGAAACTCATATCGCCCTATGGTTGAAATCCATTTTAAAAAAGGACAACAGCTTGCAAAGCACACATACAAGAAACTTTACATTATATCTGCCCTTCAAATAGCAAGCGGCAAACTATATTCAAATCTCTTTTAGAAAATAACCATTTTGTTGACACTAGGCAGACACAGCTGGGTGCCAATATGAAATTTAGCTTATTAGGAAATTCACAGCATGAATTAAAGTTAGAGAACAAACTATGTCAAACTTGGATCATAAAATGACACTTAAAAATACCCTATAAAATGAGGAAAATAAATTTGAAGTGTGAATTTCTTTAAAATGTATTTTGACTTATTTTATTTTTAAACATACACAAGGAAGCTTCAGTAGTATCAGTGTGAATTCCATGGGACAATTTAGTTAGGTAAGGAATTCCTTTAATGATACCCTTTCTCTCTAAAACAAACTTCCATAAGCTAGTATTCTGTAGAAGTGCTAGACTACAATAACTATGGTAGAAGGAATCTCTGGGAATTATAGTCCCAACTAATCTGGGAGACAGCAATTAGGAAAAGATTGCTTTAAATGCTAAAAATATAGCAGTGCTGTTCTTAAGATTATAGCATTTTTTCCAAAGTTACTAATTCCTTACTAGTACTTCAAAAGA